ATTCTGTGGGATCACCTTTCTTTGGAATGGGTACAAATATGGATCTCTTCCAGTTGGCCAGGTAGCTGTCTTCCAAATCTCTTGGCATAGCCGAGTGAGTGCCTCCATCAGGGCATCCATTTGTTGAAACATCTCAATGGGTATGCCATCAATTCCTGGAGCCTTGTTCTTCGCTAATTCTTTCAGTGCAGCTTCGACTTCTTCCTTCAATACCATTGGTTCTTGAACATAAGCCACCTAATGAAATGGATGAAGATCGACCAGTTCTTTTTGGTACAGTGACTCTGTGTATTCCTTCCATCTTCTTTTGATGCTTACTGCATCATTCAATATTTTGCCCATAGAATATTTCAATATTGCAACTCGAGGCTTAAATTTTTTCCTCAGTTCTTTCAGCTTGAGAAATGCCAAGCATGTTCTTCCCTTTTTGTTTTCTAACTCCAGGTTTTTGCACATTTCATTATAGTAATTGACTTTGTCTGCTCGAGCTGCTTTTTGAAATCTTCTGTTCAGCTCTTTTAGCTTGTCATTTCCTCCATTTGCTTTAGCTACTCTCCGCTCAAGGGCAAGTTTCAGAGTCTCTTCTGACATCCATTTTGGTCTTTTCTTTCTTTCTTGTATTTTTAAGGACCTCTTGCTTTTTTCATACATGATGCTCTTGATGTCATCCCACAGATCTGGTTTTTGGTCATTGGTGTTCAATGCATCAAATCTATTCTTCAGATGGTCTCTAATTCAGGAGGGATATATTCAAGGTCATATTTTGGCTCTCGTGGATTTGTTTTAATTGTCTTCAACTTCAAGTTGAACTTGCATATGAGCAGTTGATGGTTTGTTCCACAGTCAGCTCCTGACCTTGTTTTGGCTGAAGCTATTGAGCTTTTCCATCGCCTCTTGCCACAGATGTAGTCAATCTGATTCCTGTGTACTCCCATCTGGTGAAGTCCACGTGTTTAGCCACCATTTGTGTTGTTGATAAAAGGTATTTGCAATGAATAAGTCATTGGTCTTGCAAAATTCTATTATGTGATCTCCAGCGTTTTCTGTTACCAAGGCCAAATTTTCCAATTACTGGTAATTCTTTTTTGTTTCCAACTTTTGCATTCCAATCACCAGTGATAAGCAACACATCTTGATTGCATGTTCAGTCAATTTCAGACTGCAGAAGTAGATAAAAATCTTCAATTTCCTCATCTTTGGCTTTGGTGGTTGGTGCATAAATTTGAATAATAGTAGTATTAATGGGTCTTCCTTGTAGGTGTATGGATATTATCCTGTCACTGTACTTCAGGACAGATCTTGAAACATCCTTTGTCATAATGAATGTCATGCCATTCCTCTTCAGTTTGTCATTCCTGGCACAGTAGATCATATGGTTGTCTGATTCAAAATGCCAAAAACCCATCCATTTCAGCTCACTAATGTCTAGGACATCAATCTTTATGCGTTTCATTTTTGACATCTTCTAATTTTCCTAGATTCATACTAAATAATTCCATGTTCCAGTTATTAATGGATGTTTGTAGCTGTTTCTCCTCAATTTGAGTCATCCCATGTCAGCACATGGAGGTCCTGTAAGACTTACTTTATCCATATCATTAAGGTTAATTCTACTCTGATGAGGCAGCTTTTTCCTAGTCCTATTTTGAGTGCCTTCTGAACCAAGGGGCTCATCTTCTTGTATCGTGTTGGACAGTGTTTCCGAGCTATTTAGAAAGTTGCCCAGTTATGTATCAAACAGTGTTTTTCTACTATTCATAAGATTTTCCCTGGCCAATTTTTGAGAAGTGGATGGCCTCTTCCTTCATCCTAGTCTGTCTTAGTCTGTAAGCTGCATTGAAACCTGTGCACCATGAGCAACTCTGCTGGCATCTGAAACACCAGTGGCACAGCCTCAAGCCTCACAGCAACGTACAAGCCTCACAGGATGACAAACTGACAGACAAGTTTGTCTCCCTTAGCTGTTGGAAACCTCTGTGCCCTCCACTTACCTAATTCCTACCTGGAACCTGCCACTTTGTGGTCCCTGGCCACTCCTTCCCTTTCCTGGCTCTAGGAGGCTTGGGGCCTAGTCTTGCCTCCCTCCCCTTTACCTGGATATCCTGCTGCTCTGCAGTGTCCGACCTCCCAGGGGGTGATGGTGGTGGTATTTTTTTTATGTTTAATTTTTTTGAGGAACTTCTAAACTCTTTCCCACATGTCTGTACTATTTTACAGTCCCACCAGCAAAAGATGAGGGTTCCAGTTTCTCTACATCTTCATCAACACTTGTTATTTTCTAATTTTTTGATAATAACCGTCCTGTTTGGTGTGAAGTGGTATCTCATTGTGGTTTTCATTTGCATTTCTCTGATGACTGCTGATGTTGAGCATCTTTTCATGTGCCTGTTGGTCATTTGTCTGTTTTCTTTGGCTGAATATCTATTCAAGTCCTTTCCTCATTTTTTTAAGCGAGTTGTCTTTTTGTTGTTGAGCTGTAGTTCTTTATATATTCTGGATATTAAGCCCTATTACTATTTGCAAATATTTTCTTGCGTTCTGTAGGTTGCTATTTAAATATCTTGATAATTTCCTTTGATGTGCATTGTTTTTAAAAGTGTAATGAAGTCCAGTTTATCTGTTTTTTTCTTCTTTTGTTTGTGCTTTTGGTGTCATATGTCTCCTTCTTTCCATCTGTCCTTCCCTCTTCTGCTCCCTCTTTCTTTTCCTCCCTTTCTTCTCATCAGCCAGTGCTGTAAGTGTTTGAGGTGAGGTCTCTTTTTCACTATTTCTAGTTAGGCCTGGGAGTTGGACATGGTAGGACAAGAGTCCCACCTATCTTCTCTGAGAGTCAGATGGGGCCAGGGCCTTGCAGAGTAGTAGGTCTTTTGGAATCTTGGTCTCTCCCTTTTTATAATGAGCTGCTACCTTCTTTCCCCAGGACGGCTGGGGGGCAAGGGTACCAAGGGACTCTTCCCAGTCCAATGTGGAGAGTTCTTCAAGGGAACAATGGACAGCTTGGCAATGATATTAGAACAAGAAGAGTTCTCCTTATGGAGAAGAACTTGAGAGATGTACAGTATACTGGCTTGGGCAACTCAAATTCAACATGTCATTGGAGAAGCCAGTAAAATGAACTTCTTCACACCTTCCTTCCCAGCCAATTGGCTCCCTCTGGACTCTCTACTTCCAGTGAATGGTCCCACCATCTACCCAGCTGCCTAAGCCAGACACCCGGGCATCCTCTTAGATCTTTCTGCCTCCTTAGATGCTGGTTTTCCTTTCTTGTTTATCCTAAATACTGAGCATTTCCTAAGTGCTAGGTACTCACTAGGTGCTAGAGAAACAAATATTGAGAAGCCAGTTCTTGCCTTTAAGGAACTCATAGTCAGGAGGGGTCCAGTCAGCAGGATCTTCAAACACAGTGTGAAGACAGTGTCAGTGTGCATAGATGCAGACAGCTTGGAGCCACTCAGGGGTGACTTCTCAGAGAAAGCCTGGTCCTAAAGGCCCGGCCTGAGTTGGCTGGGCTCAGGAGGGAGAAAAGCATTCACTTTCCTCTCAACAAATCCAATGGGTCACCCAGTCCTCTTGATTCTCTCCCTTAAACACCTCTCCAATCTAACTCTACCTTCCCATCCCACTGCCACTGCCTTGGTTGGTTATTCAATATCCACCCTCTCATGCCCACCCTCAGTCCCCCAATGAGTCTCCCTGACATCAGCCCCATTCTTCCTCCAGTGTACCTCCCACCTCAGTGCCAGGGTTCTCTTTCTGAAATATCTATGTCTTCAGGAGCTCCTACTCTTTGTCCGTAGGATAAAATGCAAAGCCCTTGGCTGGCCTCACCACACCCCACTGATGTCATTTCCTGCCTTTCTGTTCTTCTGCCTGTATCCCAACAACTCTGAATTTGTTCTGTTTCCCAAACACTAAATGCACTCTCACGTCTCCATACCTCCATCGAGGCTAATCTTTTCTGGAATCCTCCTCCCTCTTTTCTCTGCCTGGAGAAATCCTCAGCCTTCCCCTTTCAGTTCAAACACCCCCTCCTCTAGGAAGTCTTCCCGGACCTGAGCAGGACTGTCACCTCCTCTGAGTGCTTACCTCTCTAGTATTACCACTTTGTGTTATAAATTTTTGATTATGTGTCTGTTGACCTCATTAGTGGTGAAGTTCATCTTTTCACTTTTCCTCAGCCCTTCTCCCTCCCAGGTATTTAGCACGGTGCCTGGAGTACAACACATGCTCAGTAAATGCCTACCGGTGGAAAAAGACATTGCCCTACACAGATTGGACTCTGTCTCCATATAAGTTCAATCTTTTTTGGAGCCAGAGACAGAAGCAGGGAACCCTGGGAGACCTCTCCTGCCCAATCATTTGGAGATAGGTTGATGGAGAGGAAGAAGATTGGTCATGGGATCCCACCTCTTTGCCTATCAACTCTTCTCCCTTTTCCTTTCCCTGCAGAAAGTCCAAGTAGTGGTCACTGTGCTGGACTATGACAAGCTGGGCAAGAATGAAGCCATTGGCAAGATCTTTGTGGGCAGCAACGCCACGGGCACAGAGCTGCGGCACTGGTCCGACATGCTGGCCAACCCCCGGAGGCCCATTGCTCAGTGGCACTCACTCAAGCCTGAGGAAGAGGTGGATGCCCTTCTGGGCAAGAACAAGTAGGCAAGAGCAGCTGGGACCCCGCTCCCTTCACAGACACTGACGAGATCCAGAGCTATCAATACCTCAGTTATGCAACCTTAGAGGGTTTTTTTTTTTTGTTTATTTGTGGTGTATCCTTGTTTTTCCTTCCCTTTTCTCTTTTTAAAAGCCCAACTTCCCTCTGACGGCTGTGTGAGGAGAGTCCTCTGAGAGGTGAAAGAGAAGCTTGGCTCTTTTCATCGTTCCAGGAGTTTCCTTTGCTGCATGCCCTGTCATATTTTCCCCTCACTCAAAGTTTCACATATGGCCCACCATTAGTGAGGCCCTCTTCTGGCAGAAAGTTCCAACACTTCCTGTTTTTTGAGTGTTCTGGACCAACAAAATGGCAGCATATCCTGTTTCCTGACAGGGATGGCAATGCAGTGGCCAATAATCCGTGTGTGTGTGTGTGTGTGTGTATGCGTGAGCATAACTGAGCATCTCTCAACATTCCTGGAATGAGCCATGGACAGTGAAGTTGTGTGAGAAAAGAAGGTTCTTCAGGGACCTGGAACTGAAGAAAGTCTACTGTCTTAAGTGAGAGATTTCTGTCAGCTTGTAGAGAGGGCTTAGAATTCTGGTCATGTACCAGAAGCTCCCATACTCCTTATGAGTGGCTGTTTTGGGGGCAGCAACATGTGGAGACTGGATTTGTCCAGAACTAGGACCAAACCCCTGATGCCATCGTAGACTTCCTCCTGTCAGTCATGGTTTCTGGGACATTCATGGAAATAAACTATTTGTTAGACTGGCCAGACTCTTAACAGGGACTGTCAGTCCCAGAACATTATTCTCATTGACAATTAATATATTAAAACTAGGGAGAAACAAAAACTCCATTATCCAGAAAGACCAAAATGAAAACTCCTGGATCTCAACCCTCTTCCAGTGGGAAACACAGATTCTTTCTCCCTTTCCAGAAAGTTCATGAGCAGTGCTGTCCATTTGCATTGACTTCCCATCATGCTTTTGCTTCTGCTTCTCTTTTAATTTAAGTGGAGCAACACTGTGTGAAGACACGTTATCTGTACAGAGCCAGAGAACTTTGCAAGGAAGGCTTAAATGTTCTTAGTTCCCCTGAGGGCCAGGTAAGAAGGGGGTGGGTGATGAGGCTGAGATGGTGGACAGACAGCAGAGGTTCCCTGGATGAGATAGATGGAAGCACTGGGATTTTTCCCAACTCCCTATTCTCTGGGCTCTGCTCTACCCTCCATGCTAGAAGGCTTACGGGTAGCTGGAGTCACCCAGGGAAACTCTTGGGGAGGCCCCATCCTACCATTCCTTAGGGAAGCTTCTCTCTTCTGAATTCTAAGAAACAAAGGATATCCATTCCAAATGGGTGGTGGAGAAGACCTGCTAGAGTTTCTGCCCCATGCTCAGTTGTGTCCCATTCCCCTTCTACCTTTTGTCCACAGCATTGGTAAAAAGCCATATATATGTTAGTCAAGTTTGCACTAAGTCCCCTTCCAATGTTCAGTCTGGGCAAGAGAGACAGGTCCTCATGTGGCCAGGGGCCAACACCACTTCCTTCAGTCCCTTCCTCTCATCTTTGTCTCCCTTCCTTCAGTCCCTTTCTTCCATCCATAATGCTGTTAGGGCCTTGCCATTTCTTTATCACAGAAAACTCATAGCTTTCTCAGAAGCTTTTGGATCTCTCGTTCCCAGCAAAAATGGCAGCACTTCCCCATCTGGGCCAACTCAGCTTCCTGTAAGCCCCTGAGACAAATGGATGGTGTGGGAGAAAATCAGGCTTTGAAGACTCAGCATGAAGAAGGTGCAGAGTGTCTTTTTATTTTACTAAAATAAAGAAGAAGAGTCTTTGGTTTTGTTTTGCTTTGGGTTTTGGTTGGAGGAAACACTTCCACCAGAAACAGACTGGGAAGCATGGCCTGGCCCAGCCCATCTCTCAGAGACTCTTCCTCTTTTTGCTAGTGGCACTTGGTACAGGGAAGTTACTTTTTACTGGAGCCTGTGGGGGTATGTGTGTGTGTGTGTGTTTAATGATCCAATGGGAAGGTTGGACTCTGACAAGGATTATGAGCTTTGGCCTTTGGGACCAGACTTGTGGTTAAGGTAGAGAGTTATGGGAAAATAAGGTGCCTTCAGAATCTGGGTGGCTGCAGAGTAAGATATCCTGGTATGGACATCAGAAGTCATGGAACTTTTCTCCCATCCCCAGAGCTGTGGGATTTTGGTGCTTTCTCAGGGTCTCTCCCCACACTCATTGTCTTCTCCCACATCCCACAAACATCACTCGTGGAGCCTCCTCTGTCAGCCTCGCCTCCTCTACCTTCATTCTTTTTCCCTTCCCCAATCCACTTTCTATCACCTGGGATCCTTCTCATCCAGCCCTTTGGTGGTTTGGGTGTACACACAGCTGGAGAGAAGTGCTGGGTTTATTACCCCAAGGCTGCCAGTAGTGAGTAGACTTAAGAGGTGGCAAAAGTCACTGAAAAACTTTGAGCTAGAGCCAGAGGAGTATGGGGAACAATTCCGTCCCTAGTCCCAGCTGACTGTGGCACAGATGAGCTACCACAGCAGGTGGCATGTGTCTAGGCCCACAGACAAGGGGGCATGATGAGAAAAAGCTTATTACTCTTCTAAGTTTTCTACACTTGGGGGTGGGGGGGGTGGGTTACTTGCTGTAACCCAGACCATAGAGCGTCATCCAAACCCTTCCTGCTATGCCAGTTTATTTCTGGGGATGTTAGGGTACTGGGTGCAGGCATTAAGTAGCTGGTCCAGCTCGAGAGGGTTCTGGATGCCTCTGGAGCTGAGAGTTTTCACTCCCTGAATCTATTCCAGAAAGAGGAAAGTAATAGGTGTTTTTTTGCAGAGGGGCTGAGACCATGAAAATTTAGACAGTTTCACTCAGGAATTGAGTGGGGCCTGAAAGCTGTTTGCTCATTTCTCCCTGGAGACCCTTCCCAGGAGGGAAATGAACTCTGCCAGAGCTACGGGCACAGGTTTGGACTTTAGGAGAGGAACCTGAGGCCTCGGGGGAGTTAGGTGAAGAGCTCTTGGCAGCCCCAGACATTGGCTTGGTGTGAATGGGCAGTGACTTTCTGGAGTCTCTTCCCCAGAAGCTGGGGCAGCTGGGATCAGGCCTCCGTCTCAAATCTTGACCTTTTCTCCTCCCAGGAAACCATGTGCAGCTTGTGTTACTGCAGAATCACTTTGGGATAATCTTGCTGGCTTGGGGCTTCAGAGAGAAAGGAAGGGTTGAAGCAGGCAACCTCCTGTGGATGATGTCAGCTCTTTTGTAAACCTGACTCCCCGTAGTGGGGTGGGGAGGGGACCTTAGCAGAAAGGCCAAGAAAGCTCCCTTGGGGTTTGGAAAGTGAGAGATTCTATGTTCTTTTAACATCCTAGGCTAATTCTTGAGGCATCTGAGTCCCGGGTCTCACCCAGCCTTGTAGAGAGAGCCTGGTACCCCTTCCTCCTGAAGGCAGAAAGAGATTGAGCCAGGAACACACCTTGCATCCTCTGTCCGGCCCGTTCACCCCCTCCTGGGGCTGACTGGGCCCTTTCTCAGAGCCCCAGGTGGTAGCAGGTAGGGAGGAGTCCCAAGGTCTGACCTCAGTGACCCACAGCCCCTGTGATTGGGCTGCCAGATTTAGCAAATAAAAATACAGGTTTCCCAGTTAAATTTGAATTTCAGATTAACATGAATAATTTTTCAGAATAAATATGTCCCAAGAAATATTTGGGATAATACTGTGCTAAAAAAATAATGGCTTCTTATCTGAAATTCGGATTTAACAGGACAGCCTGTATTTTATCTAGCAACCCTGCCCTCTCTGTCCACTTTTTCCTTCTCGCCCTCGGTCCCAGGGGGCCAGAGACTGGTCACCAAGGGTTTTGTTTAATCTGGTTTTTGAACTACAATATTGAGAAGGGGACACTGTGACTTGAAGACACATGAATATACTTTATTTTTTAAGCAACAATAACAACAACAAAAGAACCTTCTGAAGCCATTTAAGCCTCATCTGACTCCCTTCCATATGCATTTAGTTATATATAAGATAGTTATCTATAAAACATATGAGCAGAACTTTGTTGAACCAAGATGCATGTCTCTTAACTTTCTGTAAATAGCCGCATGGCAATGCTGAGAGTCTCCTATCCCCCAACCTCAAACCCAGAACTTGTTGAGGCTGCTCCTTCAATTTTATGTCGTGTCAAGTCTTTGTTCCCCTAGTCCCAATCTGCCTCCACCTCGTCGGGAACCCCCAGTGGGAGCCATTGGCCCACGGGAGTTCGTTTCCGGCTCCGGTCCAGCCCCACCCACTGGAGGTGCTGGAGGACCACGTGAACCCTGGAAGGCCCTCCTGCCATCTCCTGCACGTCCACCTGCAAAGCCAACCCTCAGTGGGCGGTGCGCTGTGTCCGGCCTGGTGTCTGGTGTCTTGGTAGCTTCTGTGTCTTGTGTATGTGTGTGGTGTGCCTGCCTCTTCCTCCCACTGTTTGAATTAACTGAAAAGCCATAAGGGGGCCTCCTGCTGGAGACTGCACTCCGGCTCCAACCAGGAGCTCCCATGTCCCTCTGACTGGCTCCCCACCAAATACTTGTGAAGGGCTTACTGTTGTCACCCCTCCTGTACCCTCAGCCTGTTTCACGAGGATGGATGGTGTCCAGGGCTTCTGCTGAGGTCTCACAGATGCCCCCTGCTGGCCTGACTGGCTCTGCACTCCTCCATCCCCGGTGTGCGCAGGGCAGCGGCAGGGTGTCCGTATTGTCGGACACCTTTCCTGGGGGCCCTGTGGAGGCAGCCAGGATTTTCAGGAGCAGCAGTCAGCAATGCAGCCTGTGGACAGTGTGCCCTTTATCATCTGCAGATGCCAGAACTGGTCCTGCTTACGCTACACTGTGGTGTCAGGGTCTGTGGTGGTCAGGGGACCTCTTGGGGTAACCAGGGGAGTTGCGCTGCAAAGGCAGTGGGTTCACAGAATGGTCTTCCTCCATGCTTCCTCCTGCA